GAATGGTAAAGTTCTAATGTATATTAATACCGTAACAAAAATTAATTTCTAGGAATAGGGGAAAATATAGAACTAATCTTCTGAGTGTAAAAGAAACAATAAAATCTCATTGGCACAAGAACTCAGAGCAGAGTTAAAAATAGGGATAGACCTTTCCTTTTTTTATGGAAAATATTTTGTTCTCAATAGAAACAGGAAGTAAAAAACTTATTAGTACTAACAAAAATGCAAGAACATTTTAAATAGACAGTAATAAAATTTATTAGAACAGCTGTTTTTTTCACATACTGCGACGACAACAGCTTTTGTCGTCGCTGTATGTGGTAGCCATGTTTTTTATTTTAAGTATTTGATGTGAATTATACATATGTATAAGGGTTAGACCCAAGATATGTGGCCTAGAGAGCCCGATCTTTGTTTTTTAATATGTTGTTTGTCCACAATTTTCCTTCTAGGAAGTATTTATTGCCTAATTGACGATAGCTCTGATGATGACATTTATTGTGTCGAAAGTATACTAAGCTTAATTAATAAATTTTTTTACACACTATCAATTTTATTGAAAACATACAAAACCTGCTTACCAGTTAGACCTGTATTATATCTCCCTGGGTGACGCATAACATGGCCAAAATATTCCAGTTTGTGATTTTTGACTATGTTAACTACTTCCGTAACTTTTCCTATCTGCTGCAAAACAATCTCTTTGCAAACTCTATCTATCCAACTTTGCAAAATACTCCGACACACCCAGATTTCAAAGGTTTCAAGTTTTCTTGAAGTTTATCTAATAAAGTCCAACCTCCTAGTCATGGCCGTTTGTAGGACTTCATCGTTTGTCCACACATGATATCCGTAACAGTATTCTGTGAATCTACATGTCCAGGTCACATTTGAGCTGTTAAGACCAACAGTAGAAAAGGTTAGAATAGCAGTAATGACAACCAATTTTCTTAAAACAGAATATTAGTAGTGAATGGGACTGATGAGTTTTTATCGCTTCAGTGTCGAGGTCTCTGTGTTTTCGGCAGCAGCGGTACAAATCTAGGTGTTAGTCAATCTTTAAACTAAAAGCTGTCTGCTGCATATCAGAGATTGTTAATTATCTCGGGATTGATTTACATATCTTATATTGATTAGTATGAGGCTTCTCTGGATATTCAATGAATTTAAGGTTCTTAATTTGTTTAATAAGTGTTGAACAGTAGACATAACACAGACCTAAATAATTCTTCACTTTACGCGAAATTGTTTGGAAAATCTCTTATGTTTACTTGTCTCTCTCTCTCTCTCATGTTTACTTTTATCGCAGTGCGAGGTCGGCTTCCTTTACATTTCTGTATAAGTTTCTATCTTAGGTCATACCAACAACAATCCCCTTCACAAACATATCTTACCTAAGCGCCTTCCACCTCAGCAGTTTTTCATATTTGGTGATTAGCATATCCACAATCCATGCTCTCTTATTTTGGCATCAATTGATGCCACCCCTGAACTACTCCTAATATTTCTATTCTTACTGTTATTTTTTTTTCATCCTAGTAATTCATATAATCATTCTCATGTCCACCACATTTATTCGTTGTCCCTTGTTATTTTTAATTCAATTTACTAACCGATCATTCAGTTCTGTACATCATGGACAGTCTTATGGTATTTTTATCAAATTTTTCTTTCAGTTGCATTGGAATCTTTTTGTCATACATCACACCACTCCAATACATTTTAGCCATCCCGTCTCAACTCTACTACGTGCATATCTATCTACTTCCCTAGATAGATCCGATCCTAGGTACATAAATATATTACTGTTCATATGCGTCGCCATTTAGAGTTAGCTGTCTTATTTGTATTTGTAACTACATCCCAAATTGAAAATTTAAGATACTCTGTTTTTGTCCCGTCCTACTAATTTTAACCCTGTTTCTTTAATAATAAATACTCAGCCCTGATGTAATCCCACTTTCACATAAAATTGATCAGTCTCTCTCACACCTCACACTTATCCTGACACTAGTTGTCAGTTCCACGCTGTTCTCCGAGTGCAGAGGTTCCCTCTCACCGGCTCTGGAACCCGATTGAGCCATGTGTTACCTATAGTCAAATTTAATTTAATACTGAACATCACAGTTATTTTACAACACAATGTACAATATTTCATAACTAAATGTAATTTAAAGGGTTTTTACCCTAGTATTTTGGTGGCTCAGGCATTGTGACCTAGCATTTTTCGATTTTAAAAACCTGATGATGGACTGTGTGGTCCGAAAACGTTTGTTTTATTGATGTGGCCCTTTTAAGGGTTTTTTAAATAAATATACCCATTTACAAAGATTAACCTCTTTTTGTTATACGTGGTATACAGCCAGCTACAGGAATTTTTCCTTGTGGATTTAGTTGTCAGTTACTCCCTCATACATATACATATGTGACAATTATTTTAAGATCAATAAATATGTAAACATTGTTTTTTTATTTCTATATTTTTCCAGCAGTTACTTTATAATGAAAATTACATCTGGTAATGATCTGTCTTACATAAATCGAAACTGATTTTCGGATATCTTAGTTTCTTAACGTATCCGTGTATCCATTACTCTCTTCCATATTGCCTTTAGTCAACTGCTTTCTCTTTCTTCAAGTAATTGAACATCTTCTTGATTTGTTATTGTGGTCATCTTTGTTGTTGCTGTCTCCGTTAGTTCAACAGGTGTTCTTTCAAATTCATCGTTTAATAAACCGTCAGAAAATATTCTTTCCATCGCTTTTTTACCATTAATCTACATCATCATACATCTAATCTGATAAAGATCATTTGTTTCCTTAGCTCTGTGTTTAACTGCTTTATTTATCTTCGTTTCATTCTCCTGGTATCAAGTTGCTCGTATGTATTTTTATATGGTTTTTCTTTAACCTGTGCTAGTGCTACTTTCGCTTCCTTTTTTAGCGACATTACAGTTTTGAAGATTTGTGTCCGACTTATTTTCTTCTCTATATAATTTTTCTTTTTCCTTTATTTTTTCTTGAACTTCTTTTGACCACCACCAGGTCACTGTACTCTTAAACTTCTTTACTGGGGTATTCCAAGTATTTCAATGGGAGTAATTTTATTAATAAAATTCAAACTTAGTATTCTCCAAATTTTATTAGAATTTTATTATACGTCCCTGCTTATTTTTTCTACTATTTTTGCCCTTAATACATCTGCTGTCGTTTCTTTTAATATCCACCATTTGATTTTTTGTTTTCCTCGCCGATACTTTGGTTTTGTTTCACTTATTACTTCAAAGTCCAGCACAATCAACTTTTCTTTGATGACTTTCAGTCTGATTGACTGAATCATCTCGCAATCTTTAAATTTACGTTTATCCTTTCTTATCGGGAAATAGTATATTTGAAAATGATATCGTTCATTTTTGGAAGTGATAACTTCACTTTCTCTCTTTTGAAAGAATGTAACAATCTAAAAAGCGAGACATAATAACATGGATATCACAGAAACAATATTAGCGGATGACCTTGCCATTATGGGAGAATACTTTCGCAAATGGAGGCTACGGCCTAATGCAACGAAAACCGAATTGTGCTGTTTCCATCTGAATAATGCCCAAGCCAACAAAAAACTCTCCATCCACTTCGAAAACAGACTGCTCACTCATAACTCAACACCAAAATATCTTGGAGTGACTCTGGACAGAACAATGGGTTTTAAAGAACAGCTTCAAAGAACGACAGCAAAGCTGAAAACGAGAAATAATATAGTCCAAAGGCTATGTGGCACTACATGGGGGTCCTCAGCCTCCGTACTCAGATCATCCGCTCTCGGACTTGTATACTCGGTGGCTGAATATGCTTCCCTGGTATGGCTCAATAGCAAACACACAAAGATTATTGACACTCAATTAAACCAGACAATGCGAATGATCTCAGGTACAATTAGACCTACACCGAACTATTAGCTTCCCATTCTGAGTCACATTCCACCGCCGAAATTGCGAAGAAGTCATTTTCTTTTCAGAGAATATCGAAAAATTGAGGCTAACCATCAACTACCCATACACCAAGATAAGCTTGATATCGAAATAAACAGACTGCGCTCCAGATATCCTCCATTGCTAAGAGCCAACTCCTTACATCAGGAACATTTTAACCTGACCAAAGCTTGGAGAACACAATGGGAGAGCGACTCACCACAGGAAGCACATCAAATGGCCTGTATCGATCAGAAACCGCCAGGCTTTGAACTGACCCGCAATACATGGACAACGCTAAACAGAATAAGAACAAGCAGCGGTAGATGTGCTGACAGCTTATATAGATGGGGAAAAGCCCTTACTCCTGACTGTGACTGAGGTGCGCAACGACAGACCGTCGGTCACATTGTTGAAGAATGTCACCGAAGGCGATTCCCTGGATTTTTCGATGAGTTCCTGAATGCGACCGAAAATGTTTTACATTATATTAATAATACATTAGATGTTCGTTTGTAATACTTCATGTAACGTTTTATATTGATTTTTTAATTGTGTGTTCGTATTTTATGCCATACGATAAATAAAATAAATGTTAGTAAGAATAGTCTCAGTGCATATCCGCTCCTGTTTTATATTTTAAACATTTAATAGAATTTTTAAAGCAATTTTTTACAATTATAAAATACAATGTATCTGATCGGTCCAGACTAGACTTTTATAATATGTTAACTGGCAACTTAATTATTTTACTTCAGAATAGAACTAGATCGGACTGTTGTCTCTATTGTCTAATCCATAGGTCGTTTGTCCTATAACAAAGGTATTGTAGGGTCATTTGACTTTATACCATGTCGAAATCAAAGAGTCGGGAAAAACGGAACATGTTTTTATATAAATATCTTCATTCCGTTTAAATAACTATAAAAATAATACAGTGTTAATTAAAAATTATGAACCAACTTTAATTTTTTTAATTGCATATATAAAAATTAATTTTCTTGGACTTATAGTACTTTTCAATTTCAGGAAATTAGTAACGACCCCAAGTTTTTTGTGGAAGGGTTTTCCCGATTCGACGTACAGCAAGGAATACTTGGAGATTGCTGGCTTTTGGCAGCTACAGCAAACTTAACTCTTAACAGCCGCTTGTTCTTCCAAATCGTGCCAGATGATCAAGAGTTTGACGATAAATACGCAGGCATATTCCATTTTAGGTAAATCAATTTAATATAATTATCATTAATAACATCTTAAATCATACCACATTAATTAGTTTTCTTTGTTGATATCTTCGGTAATATAACAAAGTACACTTTTGCCATTTATGAAAAACATTTCTTTTTACTTTATATTTTAAAGGACAGCTAATTCCACGAAGCAACGACGAAATTGTATCGGTGGGAAGGAGTTATCTGTCAGTATAAGCATTCGTCGGAAATGCTCGGCGTTCTTATATGACATCAAGTTAGCTCAATAGTGACAACTTCGACATATTGAATTTGCGGTGAAAAGGCACGCATATGCGTGCGTACTCAAACCATTCGTGCTCAGAGCATTCGTTGAAATTAGAAATCACTGCATATGTATGCATGCTCAAGGCGCTCCATCCATTCGTGAAAAAATGTCCGAGGAGCTGCTTATGGTTAGTGCCGCGTTTGTGGTTATTAGTTCATTAAAAAAGAAAAAACAAAGGAAAAATAGGCGATGGTGGACGACGCATTTATTTAAAAGAAGAACCCTACAAATGAAGTCCGATTTCTTTGTGTTCTACATCATCATTGTGAGAGTTTTCGGTTAGTACTTTTTCAAAATATATCTTCCAAGTTTCTTTGGTGTCTTCCAAGCAACACTTAATTGCTGGTTATTTCGCCGTTTTTATTACTGCAAATTTTGTTTTGTTTAATAAATTTACATGCATTCCGTGTTTTGTCCTCTTTAAAGTTTATTTCCATGCCCATGAATTGTTTGATTATTTATTTTATCTTTTTTGTCTACATAGTGTATGAGTGTATTAACAAATAAATCAATACAGATTGCCGCCTATGCCTAAGACAGCATGGACTATCATGTCTCGCAGAACAAAAGAGGCGGCAAAAATATATTCACAATTAACAATGGGGGCAGAAGGGACCGGACTAGAAATAAATATTCAAAAGACAAAAAACTAACACACGCAAGAGCTAGGGAAAACAGACTCACAGTTGAATTAGAGGACGATATTGAAACTGTAGAAAGTTTCGCAGTTATGGGAGTTAATTAAGCACGGGTGGAACAAGAGCCAGATATTCAAAGAAAAAAATAAAGGGAAACAAAGCTTACTTTTTACTCGCTCTGTTATTAAACTATTATCAGACCAATAGTATGTTATGGATGTGAGACATGGGTGATAACAGAAGACCCAAAACGAACGCTAGAAGTCTTTGAAAAAAAAACGTCCTAAGAGAGATATTTGTACTTATTAACGAAAACAGAGTACAACAGGAGATCAGGTACAACCATAAACGTTACCAAAGTTTACCTGTTCAAAGAGGCACCGATCTCAGAATTCGTTAAACTTCAAAGTGTTCGATGGGCTGGACATATAGTAAGAATGGAGACTGAAAGATTGCCCTAATTGAGCCCTAGATAGTAAAATGCAGGCACAAGACCAAAAGGAAGACCACGGAAGAGGTGGGAAGATGAAGTGGCATCGTACTCGCAAAATTTGCTAGACGTGAGAACCTGGAGAAGATCGGCGCGGGACCGGCAAGGTTAGAGGTATAGTTTGGAGGAGATCAAGGCTTGATTTGGGCTGTAGCGCCATTGTAGAGAGAGAGTGTATCAGCTATTCGTCTTTGCTTTTCAAATATCATTTTTTTTCTCTAGTTCGTCTAGTCAAATATATTCTACGTGGTTCATTTCGTTCTTCAATTACCGCCTTACTTCTTCTTTTTCTTAAGGTGCCTTCTTCATTACTGAAGATTGGCTATAACTGCAGCAAATTGCTCTCTATCTTGAGCTGTTCTTAGTATCGAATGTGTGTCCATACCTGTCTAGTCTCTTACATTCTTCAACCAGGATCATTTTCTTCTACCTGGACCTCTTCTTCCTTCCACTTTCCCTTCCATTATAAGTCGTAGGAAGTTGTATTTTTCTTCTCTGTAAATATGTCCTAGATAACTCGTTTTTCTGTTTTTACAATATTTAGGAGTTCTCCCTCAGTACCCATTCTTCTTAGCACCTCGTTGTTGGTCACGTCTTACACTCATCATCAAACCATTGGTCAGCTTTCCTTTATTTAGTTCTGAATATCGATGTTTCTGCAGTTAATGTTACTCTACTTAATTAGGTTCCACTGATCTTTTAGTGTTTTCTCTTCATTTTCTTCATATTCAGCTTCCTATTTATTTCTCCATGAAATTTATTTTCTTGGTTGATCTTCCGTTTTCATTTAAGTATACCTGAACTAGTAGATGACGTTAGCCACAGCATACACCTCATTTACTTTTTAGGTCCAAAATGCTTGTTGCTAATCGCTTTTCTATCAAGACGTGGTCTATTTGATTCACAATATCGAATTCAGGGGGTATACGGGTGTCTTTGAAAATTTTTTTGTGGGGAAATATGGTAGAACTGTGAACATCTTCTTAGTAGCTGCAGCAAAGTCAATAAGATATTGGCCGTTTTCATTTGTGTCTCTTATATAGGCTAGGTATGCATAACAATGATTCCGATGTATTCTTTTTCAATTCCTAACTTTGCTTTTGTGTAACCTAGTAGTGTTCTAGTAATTGGTAAAAAGCTGCTTTGGTGTGCTCATTTTCTTCATTCGTTGGTCACTGAACGTTTATTATGGATAAATTGAAGAAGTGAGTCTTAATTCGTATCCTACATATTTTGAAGGTCAATAAATATCAGGTTTGTCTCCATATTCTGCTCCAAGCTTTTTTTCTATTGTTTGTTATAGACAGAACACATTGTACATATAAATAACGACCAGTACGAAAGCCACTCTGATCTTCAACGTCTTCCCAACAATCTTTAAATCAGCTTTATTCTCACCATCCTTTCTGTCGCCTTTATTCTTGTAACGATCCAGTTTTCATAAGGTTGGCGTGTTTTTTTTATTAAATATCTTCTGGCGTTATTTCAGTTTCTTCGCAGTATGAAGTATTATGTATTTTGTAGCCAATATCTTGAAATTTTGCTCGAACTTCTGTCAGAATTTTTTCATAATATTCTATCCACCTTTTCGGATATAATAAATTTAATCTACTTTGTTCTTTTCTGTATGTTCTACTACATACCTCTAATTGTTTCCTAGGCTTTTCTTCTTTGACTAAACAAAAAAAAAAATTACGTTATCGTAAATCTTTGCTGATTTATTATAGATATTTTTCTTCATAACCACAAGTTCTTCTATTTCTTTGCTCCATCTTAATTTCTATTCTTTACACTATCCACTTCTCCACTAGTTTCCAGTTCAGCTGTAGCTTTAATAATTTCCTTGTACAAATTTTTTGGTGAGCAGTAACAAACATTGTTGAATTTCAAATACAAAATTCAACCTCATTCGATGCAGAAACTGGGTAGACTCACTTTCAAAATCTTGTAGTTTTAAAATTTCTTTACGCTTCAGTAAAATAAATCCTTTATATGCCTAAATAAATAAATTTTATATTAAAAGTCAAACACAAACAGAAAAGTTTACTTACTACTTGATTTTATGTAAATAATATTGAAGTTGGTTTACATTTCCGATTAGTTTCTGAACGTAGACTATTGTTGACATGCAAGTAAGTTTATTTTACAGGTGTAATAGTAAACAAAAAAAAAAAGAATATATATATATCCGGTTTTTTAGGCGTTACGCCCGTCCGGTAGGGATCTATGGTGGAGTATCACCGAGCCGCAAGCCCTTATCTCTTGCCGTACTGCTCCACCATAGGCCGATCAGAACCCAGGATATCCTAGTCTAAGCCGCAGATTCATCTAGAATTTTAAACTGCTGCGTTAGACTTTAGAAAAAAAAAAGAAACAAAATATTTATAAACTGCTGTAGGTGCCTTGTAGGTCGTGATGTTTATTTAAGGTTTTAATTGGTTGTAAGTAGAAGTTAAATAACTAGTGTTTTTTAGGGATTCCAACAATTAACATGAATAAATACTCTAGGCGATTTTATTTACTAAATGACAACAAAATACTATATTTTATTATTACGTTATTTGTATTTGAACCCATTATAGTCCAGCATCCTATTAATAGATCATAAAAAATTTTATTTCTTTTTCAACTCTTCAGATTTTATATTTTAATGTATTTAAAGATACATTTTCCGTAAATATATTAGGCTGTAGTAAACTCAGTTATAATTTTTGTTATAATGTATTACATTTCCAATATCCTTATCATAAAAACAAATATAAACATTGGACAAAGTTGCTGAATTTGTTCAGATTTGTACACATTTAACAATACAAATTTCATATCGGCCATTTGTTATCGATTACGGGATTATTTTTGTTGAATAATGTGTATTATGCACTATATCTATGAATAAATATCTAAGTTTTATTTTACTGTTGTATAACTAGGACACTGGTGCTTACCTTTATCAAAATGTGCAACATTTCAGTATTCTTTTTTTTTTTTGTGTGTGTGTTTTGGCTTGGACAATTGTCATTCAGCCAGTCTCAATCAAGATAAGTTTATTAATGTAGTGTGTTTCTGTGCGTAGAGTAATTGTCTTGATACTTAGCAAAGTCGACGTCATTGTCTTTGCTAAGAGACGCTAATTGTATCCGAACGTCTGCGGTCCCTCCGGTGTGTACCGATCACACAAGGATAGAAATTATTTTCATTTATGAATTTTTTTTTAATAAACGAAAATTTCCACCCCAGGTGGGATTCGAACTCACGACCTTTAGATTTAAAGGCAGGCGCTCTTACCACTGAGCCACAGAGGGGGTATGATTTCAGTATTCAGTTGAATGTGAATTAAATATCTTAAACTAATATTTTAACGAATCTGATTTTTGATAATAAATATAAAAATAAAGCAAATAAAATGATTGTGAAATACTTTGGACGTAACTCATTGAAGCACTGAATTTGCAGTCCATATTTTGTCGGTTTATTTGGCATGTATATTTTACATCGGTACCTTCTACTGAAGCTTACAAGCATTTCATCCTATGAAAAGTAATAGATTGTCCAAGAACATAAACACTTTGATATAAAACTATTTATTAAAAATGTACGAAATTGCTGCAGCTGGATCGTCTTTTTTACACTCATAGTCTTTTCTTACTAACACTCTTCCTGTTTTATCTGTGGCAAATATGCGATTTATATTTTCGTGGCTAGAATTGAATATCGCCCTATAAACCAAAAGTACAAAAAATTCGTCTACCATGTTAGTTTTTCTAAGGTGGTGTTGTGATACAGCAGAATATTTTTCAGGGATTACTCATATTTTTTTTTTTTGTATGCAGAATAATATTGTCTTATTTTTTATTATCGCATTATCCCATTATCACAAAATAATTAATTGCAAATCTATAATGGATTAGCAGTTTCTCCCCACTCTCTAGCCTTTACTTTTTTGCGTAGATACTTTTATCACAACGCAACGTTGTGTTTTCGAGTTTTGAATGACTGACTAACTTCGGAGGTAACCTGTATTTATTTTTACCATATTCTTCTTCTTCTGTTGACTGCCGCTTCAAATAGTTCTGCACTACTGCTCTATCCAATTAGTTGATATTGGCGACAATTCTGGCATACTCCTCTCGATCTTGTGTGGCTCTAAAGAGTACATGGGCATCGAGGTTTGTCCAATCCCTTGTCAATATTATTTCAGCTTCATTTCCTATTCTTCTACTAACTTTTGCGTTTGACATACTTTGAATCCATGATATTCGTAGGATTCTTCTGTAACAACAAAATTCAAAGGCGGCCAACTGATTCAGATGCACTTGTTTTAATGTTCATGCCTCCATGCCATAGAGAAGAGTAGTGAATACGTAACACCGAAGCATTCTTAGGCGTAGTTCTAACCTGATATCCCGACACCAAAGTAGCATTTTATAAATTTAACGAATTATGCACGTGCTATTTCAATACGTTTCTTTGGTTTGGTCTACGTTTAAACGTAGACCAAACCAACGTAGTTGGACTAAATAAATGCATGCTAGCATTTATTTAGTCGTTGCATTACGTTCTGTAAATCATTGTTGTTATCCGTCATTATTACTTTATCGTCTGCAAAAGCAGGACGCAAGTTATTCAAAACTTCTCAATTGATAGATATACCTTCTTGACTCCTAACGACTGATGACATACCTAATTGATAAATAGATTAAATCTGAGAGCTCTTCTTTAAATACCGTTTCACTGTAGACATTGAAGAGTGGCAGTTACAGCACGCAACCCTGGTGGACTCCTCTCTGTATTTTGATATCTCGGCTGTTCTGGCTGTCAATTCTTACCTTGGCAGTTTGATTCCAACATAGATTAGATATAATACGACTATCAATGTTTTTGCTTTTTTATATATCTACAAGTTTTTAATATCGAAACTTATTAAATGCCTTTTCAAAATCTACAAAACATAAGTACATCCTGATCCATATTCATGCATCTCTGAGCCAGCACATTCAAGCCAAACAAAGCATCTTTTGGGCTCATACCATTTCTAAAGTCAAATTGTGTGTCACTAATTTCCTATTCAAGAGTTTTAACAATTCTGCTGTGTATTATTTTCAAAATATTTTAAATGTGTGGCTTGTTAAAGTTATTGTTCTGTAATCTGAGCAGGATATTACACTTGACTTTTTGACGTTTAAACCATTACATCAATAACATCTTAAACAATTAGTTTTAATAATTCGATAGGCACAACATTTGGTCCGGTAGCTTTGCCTCTTTTCTGTTTTTAATTACCTATATGACTTCTTCCCGTAATATTCTGGTCCAGTATCCTCTGTGGTTTATAATGATAGTTCGTCTCTTTAATCGTTAAATAGCTTTTGGATGTAATTGGTCCAGTCCATTTGTAAGGATATTCTTTCTTGTGCTTTTTCTAGAACCTGCCATTTCTTTGATTTTCTTTTGTGTAAATTAAAGCTTCATGCTTTTTATCCAGATCTTCTATTTCCTTGCAACTGTCGGAGAACCACCTCTCTTTTGCCCCTTGAAATTTCTTTCTGATGTTTTTCTGAATTTCTTTCTGTATTTATTCAGTTCTTTTGCTTTATGTTTTCTATTTTCTTCCATAAGTTCAAGAATTTCTACTGGCATTGAAGGTTTTGTTGTTTCCCCAAGTGGTTAGAGGGTTTCTTTTCCAACTGACACAAGGACATGTTGAATTTTTCCCCATTTTTGGTCCATAGTTAGAGTTTCTGCATTATCTTCTTTGACTTTTCTTAAGTTCTCGTTTATTTTAAATTTCCTTTCCGCATATGTGTTGTCTTCTTTGAGCTGCCTTGTATCCATGATTTTCTTGAAGATAGGGCACTTTACATTCTTTAGTTTCACTCTTATCGACAAAACAACTTACCAACAATCTTACCTATGTTCTTTTATGTTCTGATCTATGTTCTTTTTTATTATCAATACTTATATATCCATCACCTTTAACCACTTGTTTCTGACTCTGATAACTTTGAATCAGTACCATGCTCTCATTATTTATTAAAACTTTTTACCATGTTATTCCTATCACTATTACTAGAACAATCATCAGTGTACCATTTTAAAAGAGCTTCTTTAAAATTACTGTCATCCTAAACGAATTTTTTGTAGCAAAGCTTCTATACTGGTGTTGTTGTACTTTGTTCCCTATAGTAAAATGTTGAATCGAGCGTCACGGAACTAGCGTCACAAGATGGCGTCGTTACGACTAGCGTCACAAAATAGCGGTTCTTCACATCGATTTACTACTCTCGATTAATTCTAGTCATTATATATGTATTCTAAGCAGGTTTAAATTAAAAACTACATAAAAAAACTAGCAGAATATAGAAATTAAATACGGTCAAAATTTAAAAGTCATAAATGTCATCTAGTTAATAACAATATTGAATTATCTGTTTAAATTATGACACTTATTTTAAAATAATTGCATATAAATACAATGTCGGAATTTTTCAATTACTAGTTCGACTATTGAATTAATATACAATATACACTATAAGTGCCACAAAAAGAATTGTTAGTAAATAATTTTAAGTTGAATTTTCATATTTTCATATTTACAGCAGATTATTGGAAACGTTCATTTATGAAGCGAGAGTCCCTTATACAAAATTTTCGAAACACTATTTGTTATTTTGTTTTTTAAAATGTTTAATAATTTGTATACTTAAAAAATTCCTTTCAAACTATACTCTATTTTTTTTTTAACATCTTAGTTAGTTTATATATTACTTAAATTTACTATCAGATGATATTTATATTTAGTAGTTGTTGTTGTTTGTTTGTGTTTTAATGACTGCGGACGCTAAATCCATTCGCCAATCTTACAATTTGAGGTGTAGTGTGTGTGTGTGTGTGTGTGTGTGTGTGTGTGTGTGTGTGTGTGTGTGTGTGTGTGTGTGTGTGTGTGTGTGTGTAGAGTAATTGTCTTGATACTTAGCAAAGTCGACGTCATTGTCTTTGCTAAGAGACGCTAATTGTATCCGAACGTCTGCGGTCCCTCCGGTGAGTACCGATCGCACAAGGATAGAAATTATTTTCATTCATTATTTTTAATAAACGAAAATTTCCACCCAGATGGGATTCGAACTCACGACCTTTAGATTTAAAGGCAGGCGCTCTTACCACTGAGCCACAGAGGGGGTTAATATTTAGTAATAACATACTAATTTAATATTTAGTCTGACTTTGACGGGTATGTCAGAAGTAAACAACGTATACTTGTTGATACGTTAGCAGGTGGTATTAAAAGCAAACATAATAATTTAGTAAATTATTTTAATATATTATAATTTATTACTAATAAAATTATTTTCTTTAATTTTAAAAATATTATTTAAATTTTTAAAATACAGAAAACATAGTATGAAGCTTCGCACTAGTCTACTATGTACCACTTTTTTTTCTATGCACCAGCCATATTTTTAAAATCTGCTGCACCGTAAACAGTTAGATGGACGGTCGAGTGTTGTCTGAAAGTCTAGTTTTAAAATAATAATTCAAGGTGTTAAAACATCGTTGCCAATCATAAAGTTTTATCATTGTCTTATCATGATTCACTAGAAGAAGTAATAGGTAGAACTAGAAATCGGAGGAAAATTTTATGAACCGAAAAATATAATTTATTTATGAAGCGAATACTGTGGGAAAATTTCATTGGATGTCTACTAGTTCGCTCCGGTGGTCAGATTTTATTATCACAGCATTTGGAACTAAATTATATTGATATTTAATTTTGACAGGATGATTGTTCAGCGCGTAATTGAGCCAATATTGAAATTTTTATAAATGTACTTTTTGTTGTCGTTATTATGATTTTATATGGTTATTATATCAGATGCTTTAAATGAATAACAATTTTAAAGTTGTATTATAATTTTAGATATAATTATAATTATAACATTATTTTAGATTTTGGCAATACGGAAAATGGATAGACATAGTAATTGACGATCGGTTACCCACATATAGAGGAGAATTAGTATTTTTACATTCTGCTGAAGATAATGAATTTTGGAGTGCTCTCTTAGAAAAGGCCTACGCAAAGTAAGTAAAAAATAATTATTATTTTTAGTAATAACTTCATTTTAGATTTTTAAGTCTTTTACGGTATGTACTTGTCAACATTGATTGCTGTGACTTTAATTATTCTCAAAATATTAAGGTATGTCTGCTTTTCTTCTCTTTTACGCCATCCTTTCTACACCGATCATAATGCAGCCAATTGGTATCTTACAATATCTTACAATAACTATCATTAGGGTCCTCTAAACTTCGGTAAATCTTTTATATATAAGCTCTCCACTAACACCCGAATACTCTGCCAAATAAAGTTTTACTACAAACTTTCCGTAGCAACAGTAAATTCTGCGAAAGCTGCCAAGTTCGCCTGTGGGAGTTGATTGGTGTCATTGACACCTCAGAGTCCGCGACCTAGGTCGCACATAGAATGTTAGTAGTTGTGAAGAATTTCCGTACCATCTTCAAGAGTTGTATGCCATGTGAGTGATTCTGTGCATTTGCTTAAGCTGTATTTTTTTATTTTTTCTAATGTCTTCTAGTTCATTAACTTGTAATCTCACATTAATCTTAATTTCTCTAATGTTTATAGTCTCACCGTGTATAATTGTGAAACATATCGATTAGTAGCTTAATTATAGTTTGTTGTGAAATTATTAGAAAAAAATTATTGATGTGCAATAAGTTCCTAGGTTCAAATTATATTTGCCAGCTTTCAAAAGTTGAAAGATTTTTGTTCCCTGCAGGGGGCACTACACTTATTTGATGAATCGTACCATTTAGTGATTAAAAATATAGCTTCGGGACTAGTTTTCAGTTAGATTATAAATTTTTACCTCAACAACATCTATAGAAGAATAATTCAGTAGCTGTCAATAAAACTATATTTTACTCCACGTCTTCAACATTTTATTTTATCATCGTCGATCGAGAAGAAGCGGACACAGGGTATTAGAAAAAATTCGAAATTTTAATTACATTCGAATTGTTCAGTTGTCATTTGACTTCACTTTGCATATTCTTAATACTGCAGATTTGTTTTGCCTTTTGTCGTCACATATATCATTCATGTCATGGTGCTATCATTCTTATAGTTGGTTTATCATTCATGTATATTATGTTAGTTATGTCTATCGCTTCCGGTGACTTTATTACCTTATTATTGTTGTGTGTTAAATCTTCCATGAATACTAACGCCTATTGCTCCAATTAATCTCTGATATGTTTTGACTGATGCTGTGACTCTTTCTCTTTATCTATCTTGTATATTGTCGTTTTTATTGTTTTGTTAATTTTGCCATGCGCATTGTATTTTCTGGCCAGTATTCCTCTTTTTTATTATTTGATTTGTTGATTGTTGAATTGTTAATAATTCCGATTTTTTCATATTATTTTTCAATGTGCATGGTAAGTGTTGTATGTTCTAATTTTTGTTCTGTTTTTCCTTGATCTTATCCTTACCTTGATTAATTAGTTCTAGCTTTTCTTTTTGGTGTGCGGCTTGATGATGGGTATAGCCAATCTAAATGTGCTTTTCTATCATACCTTGATGTTTGTGTGTGATTTCATTTTGTGTTTTGTTTTCTCATTGCTGTAAAATTTTGTATTTTGCTCGTTACAGATGTCGTTCTTTGGCTTACTGTTATCTCATTATTGTAGTTTTTTTCGTTTCCGAGTTGTGGAAAACCTTATGGTTCTCTTCTTTTTCATCTACTAGTTTTTCCTTTATGTTAAACTTTTATTCTCTTGAACACCTTTCTCTTGCTTCGAAATATGCGATGTTTTCAAATGCTATTAATACTTTTATGTTCTTTTGTTCAAAATATACATTATGGCTTCCTATTTTCTCATTGTACCTCTACATGTTCTCTCGGATATCTCATTTCTGACCTAGACTGGTATTTTATATGTCCGTAACTCTTGCTAATTTTACATTGAGATACTAGGCTAATGTATAATTGGACTTACAGGTTGAAGTGAGATTAAGTTGTATATACTATATACTGTATCAAAGAACCTCAGGATAATTATGGAAACGGTCTAATATTTCGAGAAATATAAATGAAAACAATAAATAAAAAAAAAAGGTTTTTATTGTGTTTCAAGAATCTATTGAATGACACCAAACACGATCCTCCACCTCCCTCCCCTGTGACGGGGCGGGGGACATCTTTAAAATCCACATTTTCTATTGCTGATTCAAAATCTACGAAAAACTATTTAATATTACAAAAATTAGTTTGGAGACTTCTTATACTGTACTGACTTCTGACTTGTATTTGTTTTTTTGCAATTACAGCACCATCTATCGCGAATGGAAAAAATTTGATAAAGCGTGTTTACTTTTTTAAGTAAAATACGAATCTGTAATAAAAATGGGATTTGCCATTCTCCAAGACTTTCGAGCCTGCCCAATTCCCCCAACACAAGGGGTAGAGATCGATGATTGTGTGTAGTATAATTCGATAAATTTTTGAAAAATAATAAATACTTGTTTTTGGTTTTTCATGTAAAATTGATTTCTCGAGCTTTCACCATTTCCATAATTTATAGGGTAAGATAAATCGTTTTTTTGCTGATACTTGCTGATGCTGATAAATAAAGGAATGAGAGTTGCCATTTAAGATTTTAATGTTGCTCCTGTCACACCCATAGGGGGCTGATCGTGACTTTAGATCTCTCTTAGTGTAGATGACCACTTGGTCATACTAAAAAATATGAACAGCGAGTCCTTATACACTCCCATTTTAAGTGCCATTAATTTTTACTGCAATTTACTATTCTTCATGGGAATACTCAATTTAAGTTTAAAATAAGTTTATTTGTGGCGCTTTGATTTCCACTTCGGAAATCGGTCTTTTTTTCGATTTCTGGAGTGGAAATTATTTTAGTATACATTTTTAAGTAGTTGGTTAAGATTTATCTTATGGTGTGGTGTATTTTAAAATAAAAATAATTGTTTTAGATTAAATGGTTCCTATGAAACATTGAAGGGAGGTTCAACATGCGAAGCCATGGAAGATTTTACTGGTGGCGTTTCTGAAATGTACGAAATGGAATCCAGTCCACCAAATCTGTTCCAAATCATGGTTAAGGCCTATGAAAGGAGTTCCCTTATGGCTTGTTCGATTGAGGTAAAATAATACATATTCAATTTATTTTGTCATTTATATGTTGTATTTTACTATAAACATTTAATAAACAATATTCTCGTGTAGAAATATTTTAAGACGAACGGCTCTCGGAGCGAAAGTTTTTGAAGTATTTTGGAGTATTGAATTCTATCTAATATTCTAATATACGACGATCGTCGTTACATATACATTATGTATATTTTTTCTTTCCCGATCAGTTAATCAAATCGGATCATGAAGTCCTATCTTTTATAATCATGTAAATTGTAGTTCTTTATTGTTTCTTTTGTTATTCCATCATCTTTAACCGCTTCTCTATCCTAACGTGAACCGCCGCAGTGTAATGTGTTTTGTTGTTTCTCAATCTAGATGTTTATTTCTTCCATTGTAAATAGATCACACTTAATTACTCTAGAACATCTAAAAGTCGTAATAAGATTTTTAACTTCTGCCCTTTATATTTTCTATTTGTAAATCTTTAGAATATTGTATCCATGTTTCTGGTCTAATTCGGGCAATCATTACTTTTCTAGGCTGCTTTAGATTTAGCGTGGATTAATAAGGCATCAGTCTCATGATATTTCCTTTATAGTATTCGTTTAACTACTTGTTTCTTAGCTAAAAGAATTACTACTGTATCTGAGTTTTTTTTTCTACCTTCTGGATCTTTGATAACTATACACGTGTTTATTTGAAAATGACCCATTCTCAATATTTTAGAAATGCGACATGTTGGAAAGAAATGTCGAAACACGTAAACTTTTAACTTGAGGTAGACACTTTTTAGCGTTAATATCATAAACGTCAGATTCACTCCGTCTCAAACACCTTAGTATTAGGGATACCTCTTACATTTTTTCAAATGGCGTTAGTTATTAAATCATACCTCAGTTAAAATGTCTTGTAAATCTGTGTTGAAACATATTGTTTTGCATTTGATAACATTGTTTTTAATCGTTGTTTAAAATTGGTTCTCTTTAACATTTACATATGCCTCCGTATTGTTGTGATCATTTAAAAAGTCATAATAATAGTGAAAAAACAATAATTACAATAACGACATACAAAAGTCATAGTGATAATTACAATAACAGGAGTAAGTTTTATGGTAAATACATTTCCAATAATAAATTTCTTTATTAGTAAATTATCTATCTTTAATAGATATTGCTAGTACTGACAATTACTAAAAATGATTTATAAATTACCTGAAAGGACCAAAACTATTTTTGTTTGCGGAAAACGTGACGAAAGTGCTAGAAGAACAGTTACTGTGTTTAATGAAAGAAACCCAGACACACATGTCGATCATAAGTATGTGTTAATACTACTCCGAAATTTTTGAAAACAGGTTCTGTCTTGAATAAGAAACGTAACAGAAAATAGTTTTAGACGAAAACACACAGAAGTAGTTAGACATTTTGGTATGGATCCAACAACATCCATTAGAAAACTAGCAGCCTCTGTAGTCTCTGAACGAACTAAATGAAGATGATCCCAATCGTGGAGGTAAATTTTGTGAATTGATAACAAGTAGGTAAGCGTAAATCCCAAGAAATTCAGTTCTTTTGATGTAGATTAGTCAATGGGGATAACTTTTGCTATTGAGATGATCAAATCCACATATTTTTCGAAAGCTCCGTCCCAAACACACCAGAAAACCAATGTTTGGCCTGTAATTTAAGGAAACGTTGTTATCGGACCAGTATTCGTTGAAGGAAATTTGACCGGTGAAAACTATTTGGAACTTTTATGATAACGTTATCGAACCTTGGCTGATAGTGTGGAAAACCGGGCTCCGGTTTTCGACAAAACGGGGCTTCACCACATTTTGACCGCCGTGTAAGAGATTGGTTAAACCAAAATTATCCCGACAAGTGGATTGGTCGAAGGGGTGCTAGGGAGTGGCCACCTAGATCTCCAGCATTAACACTATTCGACATTTTTTGTGGCGATATTTAAAACTTGAGGTCTACAAAACACAGCCAATATCTCCTCTTGATTTAAAACAGCCCCTTATTTAAGTTTGCAGATATATAAATAAAAGAAACAGTTCAAAAAGTGCGAGAGGAATTTGAAGATAGACTTTATTATGGCTTGAATGTTAACGGTGGTTACTTTGAACACATTAAATAAGTTATTTCTTGTTCACACTTGTCTTTTTACGTTATTTTAACTTTTTTATATAATATTCTTTAGAAGACTTTCTGACAACATAACACGGGAGCATAGGAGCATCAAGTTTAAAGAGAGCGAATTTTAAACAACGATTAATTAACAAAGGGCGTTGGTATCAAAGACAAAAGTTTATGATATTATGAATACAGATATACCAGGTATGACTTTATATCTAAAGCAATTTGAAAACTATCTAGTGGTATCTCCACTAGGGAGGTAGTGAATCTGACGTTTATGACATTAGCGCCTCAAGTTGTTGATTTTTTTTGGCATTTCATTATATTATGCCGCATTTCTGAAATATTAAAATTGTGTCCTCTTTAAATGTACCTACTGTATAATTCGTTCTATGTTTAACAAGATCTGCTAATATTTTATTCTTTTATTCCAGTAGTTGGTTTTTTTTTTCAAGCGAATGATGTTTTTTCCTACAGGTCTATCTTGCCGCTTCATATAGTACATTTTCTCGAGTACAAACTACAATACATTTCTTTTGCTGATTCTGTTGGTTCTTTTTCATATATTCACTAGTCTTGTTTTTTACGAGAAAACTGTGGAATCTCTCGAATAATGACACTCAAACCAGTCTTTGAGGATCAGGAAGATTCCTGTACGGGCATTCTACCTTTAGGCGACAAATTCAGTTATGAGTCACTGGAAATTCGCCCTCACCATGTTCCATTCTGGAATAAAATTTCCTGGCAGAGCTAACAGGTGGTTGATCAGTCAGAGGGCTTTAATTCGTAATTTTTAGACTGTCTATTGGCATCAACACAACCTTTACGAACTCACCAGCCATTTTCTTCCCTTATTCATTTCTTTCAATTGGGCTTGGGATGGAGTATGTTTGTTGTTTTGTTCTATATATTAGATATTCAATAATTAAGATTCTTATTACATTTTCAATCTGTTTCTTTACAGCCTGACCCACGTGTTCTAGAAGCTCACACACCACAAGGTCTTATTAGAGGTCACGCATACAGTATAACTAGAATAAAATACGTTGAAATTCATACTCCAAATGTTTCCGGTAAAATACCTCTCCTAAGGCTTCGAAATCCTTGGGGTAATGAGGACGAATGGAATGGAGCCTGGAGTGACGAGTAAGTATTTCAAATAAATAAATTTATTTTTACCATTGGTTCGAGTAGTATATTTAACTTAATAATGCACCTTTAACTGAATTTTAACTAAGAGAATAAGTCGTGTAACGAGTAATGCTAGGTGTATCGTCTATAAGATCTTATAGCAAAGAAATTAGACAAATATTATGGATTCAAGGAATAACCATAATAAAAAGTGAAATTAGATAGATAGATGATAAATATATGTTTGTTAGTAGAGTGTATTAATGTAATATTTTATTTACAGAGCTCCAGAATGGCGATATATTTCACAAGAAGAAAAAGAAGAGTTAGGTCTTACATTTGACAAAGATGGTGAATTCTGGATTTCATTCAAAGATTTTATGAAATATTTCAGCAGATTAGAAATTTGTAATTTGAATCCTGATTCTCTCTCGGAAGATGAATTACATGAAACTCATAAGAAAAAATGGGAAATGTCTGTATTTGAAGGCGAATGGGTTAGGGGTGTAACAGCCGGTGGTTGTAGAAATTTCCTTGGTAAGTATTTATGAATAAATTCTTTCTAGTTTTCACTTCAATTACGGGACTTTGCAATGAACTTGCAATGCAAGTTTTCTGTAAAAAGTTAAGTAAATAAATTTATAAATTTTAAATTAATAGGACATATTTCGCCTGCTGAATTTCTGGATTTCTTTATACCAAGTCTCTCACTTGTTGGGAGAACCATTAGAAATCAAATAGATTACACTTTAGTAAATAAAAAATTCCGAAACAGCTTTACATCTGTCAAAACTTATCCTGGAGCGGACTTGGAGACGGACCGCGTTCCACTGGTGGGAGTATTCCGAGTCAAGCTCAAAAGAGTGCAGAAAAGGAAACCACAATCATACGATCTACGAATGCTAGTGCGATTAGAGACGAATCGAACGAAGAACAAACGATTAAACAGATTATAGAAATGGTTCAAAATTAAAGGATAAACACTTAAAGGCATATAAATTATTCAAGAAAAAATCATGTATGACAGATCCTAAAACTAATGAACGAAAGAAGAAAAGCCGAAAATGACCCAAATATACATAAAACGATTAATATAACAATAAGAGGGAAAATCAGAAAAAAGAAAGAAAAAGAAGCAATGAAAATATGCGAACAAATGGTATGACAATGTAGAACGTGGAAATAATACCTACAGAAACTGTTTAAACACCAAAAAGATAACACCTTTGAGCTAGAAAAAGGTGTAAATGATGGACCAAAAATATTGCAATAGGACGTTTTTGTAGGAAGAACTTCTCAAACTAATGGACAACTAATAACTGGTACTCATCAGCATAAATAAATATCAACAGAATGGCTGAAGTCTGAGTTTGTTGCACTTAAAAACAACTAGGAACTAAAAAATTCGAAGAATACCGTATGATAAACTTCATGAACGATCTCCTAAAATAGTTTCTAAATAGAATCCATTCACAAGCTGTGTGAAAGTCAAATTTTCCCCAACTAGTTCGGGTTTATAAATGTTGTTGGTACGGGGAAGGCTTTTTTCTCAATATAAGTTTTATTCCAGATTCAGGGACTTCAACTGCAACGTATACGCTTGGAATCGGACCGTGTCGGACTTTTAGAGTTGAAGGTGAACACGTGGAGTGAGGCAAGGCTGTATTTTGTCTCCTCTAATCTTTAATCTTCTAACGATAGATTTTGCTTACCTAAGGTAAGAACATGGGGGTAGAAGATTGGGAACAAAAACTACTGGGGATAGAGATAGGGCAAACAAAATAATCGAAACTGGTGCGTACGACACTCAGGGGGTTGTTGGAGAGCTGGGTTGTGGATAAGTTGAAATAAATGAGTCCGATTGGGGTATCTACAAAATGAAAACAAAGGGATACTTACATAAATATCCTGGATCAAAATCGAACAAGATATGGCAGATAAGAATTACCTATAGCTATTTTCTTTATTGGGACGCCGCTTCGAGAAATACTTCCTGCTGGAAGAAGGAAAATTTCTCCTTCCCTAAAATCAAGAATACATACAAGGGTTAGGTGGCTTTTCTAAATTAAAACAAAAAAATGGATCGGAGAAACAAACCAAACGTTTATTTTTATCTCAAACAAACAGTTATCAAAAATACAGATTGCACAAAAACATACTATATAATCATAATACAAAATTACCAAAAACTTACGTGCTTATCTGTTTACAAAGGAGATTGCTACAAAAGTTTTTGAAATGGTTCTCCTAAGCTATTTATTAATATGGCCAAAATAGAATATTATAATTAAGGATATCCTTGTTTATGAAAATATCGTAAAATTTAACCTTATATATGAAATATCTTTTTTACATAATAATCAAATTAAAATTGTTTTACAACAACAGATTAGAGCCAAAATGTCATATGTCAACACAACATTTTAAGACAGAATAAATTATAACATTTTTTTAGCTACGCCTCTAACCTAATATATAATTTTAATTATTACAAATTTTCAACCTATATGTTGCCTTAAAAATTCCATCAGTTTCCGGTATCTGTACAAATCTTATGGTGATTACTCTGTTCTAAGATGCGATTAATGCAAAGAGTATTATCACCTTTCACGGGTCTTAAGACATAACACACAAAAAAAATGAATCGACTGTCAATTCAAAGTCCGCAAAATGTCTTCTCAGTTTGAAATCTCCTGCTCGACTCCTATCTGCGTTACATTTTACAAATTCGACGCCAAAACAAAACATCTTTTTTTCAACCGGAATATTAGGGGAATGATGTAAACAAATCGTTTTCAACGACAAAAACATCTTGAAATATTTACTTTTAAATTGGCTAAAAATAACACGTATTTATTGATAATTCTAAACGTCCTCGCTTCCTAGTTTTAACCGGAATAATTTTCTACCTGACAATGTAACAGAGACAAAAACATCTATATTTTGAAACAACTGAATACAAAACTTAAAACAGAATTTATACTATTATATAGATATTAAATATAAAACGCTTCAATCTTTACTCTGAAAAAATATTTATCGAAGCTTTGCTCGAAACTGAAAGAGGCATTTTTACACATACACGGGTACCGGCTAAGCAACATCAGATATGCAGATGACACCCTAGTATTTGCGGACAACCTAGAAGGCCTACAATCAAACAAAATTATGAACAAAATCAAGTAATACAGTGAATAATATGAACTCAATATAAACTTAAAGAAAACCAAGCTCATGATAATTAGCAATAAAAAGATAACAGAAGGTCAACTTTACATCAATTAATCCACAGTATAAAGAGTGACGCACTACAACTACCTCAACACCATAATAAATGAAAAATGGCGCATCGGAAAAGTTAGATTCACCTTCAACCGGATGGACCTTCACCTTCTTCAAGAGCCATAACCTCTCTATTGGTATAAAAGTAAGAATGCTACGATGCTACGTCTTCTCTGTCATTTTTTATGGTGTTTAATCGTGGACCTTGAACGAAGATATGTACAGAAGATGGCAAGCATTTGAAATGTGGCTATATCGGAGAATATTAGATCCCGTGGACTGACCGAATCACAAATGAGAAGGTCCTCAGAAGAATGAAGAAGTAACGATAATGAACAGATTGCTTTAATAATGGTAATAAAAGAATAGCCAAAAGTAAATATGAAGCATGTGTAAAAATGAAAAATATTTGCTTGTTATATAAGCAGTATAAATGTATTTTAAATGATTAGTTTGAAAAATCTTTAAAAAGTTTGAAAAGTTTTAAATAACATTTTGAAACAATTTTTATCAGTTAGTTATTACACCTTATTAAACTAGTAACTTAATTTTCAGCTTCCTTCTGTCATAATCCACAATACAGAGTTACTTTGACTGACGTTGACGACGACGATGATGAGAACAAATGCACAATAATCGTAGCGCTAATGCAGAAAAATCGAAGAGCTCTACGTCAGAGTGGCGCCGAATTACTTACCGTTGGTTTTGCTATATATCACGTAAGTTTGAGTTCTAGTTATGAAACTTATATTTTGTATATTCTCTAACAATGAAATTTGATACGAGATCTTCTTTAATCTTAGTTTAAAAGCTACCATCGTCAATAATTTGATATATATATATATATATATATATATATATATATATATATATATATATATATATATATATAGTGTAATATCATACCCTTATTCATGTGAAGAGATAGCAGTTTGAATTCGTCTAAAAAGAGTTTATTATCATTAAAATTCTACAATATAAATTATTAACAATAATATCATAGCTAACATAACTTAACAAATATACAAACCTAAAAAGAGAATCAAGAACAATGCTATTTCTTACGCCATTAATTTGACAATACAATTTAAAATATGTCAATGTCAATAAAACTTAAACAGTCATACAACCTAAAACTTTAATTAACTAAAAATAACTAAACCCTGCTGTTTCATTTAAAATAAACATAGGTTTACTTTTACATCCCCCTACCAAAAAGGTATGATAAACCATCTAAGTATATGGTTTATCACAAGGCATCAATTTTGAAATATGGAAATAATTCATATCATTCTTTTTGTATCCAATATCTACTTCATATAATGTATTTGAAATTTGTTTTTTTATTTGAAATGGACCTACTCTTACTTCGTCAAGTTTTTTTCTATTTAGTTTTGATTTATTTTCTACATATGCCCAATCTCCCTCTTTGAATTCATAGGATTTTCTATTTTTGTCATACAGTTTTTTATTATATTCATGATGTCGTACCGAATTTTTATAGGCTATTTCTTTATCTTTTGATAGATTTGTTGTCTCACACAGTTCCTCGGGAACAATCGGATCTGCTTTTCCAAAAAGCAAATATTCTGGGCTATATCCGGTTACAGAATGATCTGTTTTATTGTATTCCTCTATACATTCTTCAGCTATTTTTGTCCATGCTCGAATTCTAGTTTCATTTTGTTTGCATCTTATTCTGTTAACTAATGTCTGATTAAGTCTTTCATTTAATCCATTCGAGAATGGACAGTCTACTGCTGTAAAAATTAATTGAATATTTAAATGTTTCATATGATTTCTAAATATTTTGGAATTAATTCCTGGATACTGATCTGTTAATAATGTTTTTATTGGGTGTTTATCTTGAATTTTGGCGATTAATTTTATGAAATCATCTGTGGTCTGATTTTTAGAAGTAACTGCAAACGCATATCTGGTGAAGTGATCTACAAGTAAGTGGAGGTATTTTTTTGTCGAACGATTGCCACCAAATCCTCCTATTGTATCTAAGGACATTATCTGAAAAGGTTCTTTTGCTGGACCCAATTGTGACAAAAGACCATATTTTGGACCGATTCTTGTTTTATTTTTACAGCAGATCTCGCATTTTTTACAGATATCCTTTGCTAGTGAATCTATATTCTTAATGTAGTAAAAATTTCTAATTTTGTTTGTTACTTTACCAGCACAAATATGACCATAAAATTTGTGAACTTTTGTTATTAACTCTTTTCCAAAATCTTTGGATAAAATTATTTTTTTTTCATTCTTCCTTAATTTATAAAATATATCTTGGTTCAAAATTGTTCCTCTCATTGTATCTATAACTTGTCGATTATTATTTTGGTCTTGTTTTATCTCAGTTAATGTGACTAGGTTTACTGTTCTTATGAATGTTTCTGCATTTTTAATATTTTCCAAAACTGGGTTTCTAGAAAGGCAGTCTGCTTCTACATTTTCTTTTCCAGGTTCATATTTAATGTCGAAGTCAAATTGTGAAAGAAAATGTGTCATATCTCCTAATTCTTCATCTGGTCTTGTACGAAGTTCTCTTCCCTCAAGGGGTTTATGATCAGTAATAATGAGAAATTTTCTTCCCATTAGCCAGTATTGCCAAAATTTTATTGCTTCTTTAATTGCCAGGCATTCTAAAAAAATAGCCTTTTTATTTTTTTGATATTTGTTCAATTTTTTTGAAAAGTATGCTACGGGTTTCATTTCTCCATCTCTTTGTTTTTGTTTCAGAACCGCACCAATTCCTAGAACACTAGCATCTGTATATATAGTTGTAGGAGCATTTGGGTTAAAAATGGCTAGTATAGGTTCAGAACAGAGGATATTCTTTGCCCTATCAAAAGCTGTTTGGCAGCTTAAAGACCAGTGGAATTTGATATCTTTTCTAAGTAAATTATGTAGTGGCTCTAATAACCTAGCTGAATCTTTTATATATTTGTGGTAAAAATTTACTTTTCCCAAAAACTGTCGTACTTTTTTTCTCGTGTCTGGTGCTGGAAAATCTCTGATCGATATTAAATTATCATGTAACGGACGAACTGAATTGTTTCCCACAATGTGTCCCAAATATTTAACCTCTTCTCTTGCAAAATTACATTTTAGAAGTTTGAGTCTAAATCCCTCTTCAATAATTGCTTTCATAAGTCTTTCTATATGGTCTAAGTGTTCTTCAAATGATAATGAGAATATTAAAATGTCATCTATGTAGTTTATACAAAATGAATTTAAATTATGCTTCCTGATGATATTACTTAAAATTCTTTGAAATATTGCAGGAGATGTTTTAAGCCCAAAAGGTAAGCATTTCCATTGCCAATGACCACTTTGGGTAACGAAGGCTGTCTTGTATTTATCTTTTATCCGAACTGGAATACACCAAAAAGCAGAATTTATATCTAAAGTAGTAAAGAACCTAGCATTCCTTGTTTTGGTCAAAATCTCGTCAATTAAAGGAAAAGGTTGGGGTTCAGGAATAATTAATTTGTTTAACTCACGAAAGTCAATGCACAATCTTGTTTTAGATCCTTCATCTTTTTTAAAAGCCAATGTAACAGGTGCTGCAAAAGGTGAAGATGATTCTTCTATTAAATTTGCTTTTAATAATTGTCCTATTTGAAATTCTATCTCTTTTTGGTCTTCTATCGAGCATCTATAGGGCCTTTTTGCAACAAATTTATGTTCTAAAAGTTTAATTTGAGCTTCATTATTTTGAACCTGCCCAATGTCAAATTTATGTTTTGCAAAAATATTGTCATATTTATTTAGTAATATTTCTATTTTATTTTTCTGATATGGCAATAAATGCTCTAATTTTGCTTCAAAAAGTTCTGTGGGAATTCCTTCATTAAAGTTTATGGAGTATTTGAAACGTCAAAATGTGTGAATTGACAAAGTTCAGAAGAACTGGAAGAGAAGTGATGGAAAAAAAAATACTAAAAATAGGGCTAAGCTCAGAGGAACAAATTTAAATGGCCAAAGAGACACTAAATCTCAAGTGAGTGTTCGGGCTAGCTTCAATGCACTGGATTGTGGCTTTAAAGATTTAAACAGATAGCAAGGATACTGAGCTAATGAGACAAGAAACGAAATGAGACCTGGTAATATCAAACGTGATACAACTAAAGAAGGTCACTGGGAATAAATTTATAGAAAGAGAACAATAAGAAGAGAAAAGAAGGGCGCCAACTCAACGATAGTTGAGATTTTGAAGTAACAAATGAATCTGGAGGTAATACTCTGAAATACAAAAATACTAAATATTAATCTTGTTTTGCTATGTTATCTCCTGGTTAGTAGAACTGAAATAAAACTCAAAATAGCAACAATAAATATATTTATAAACAAATGTATATAGGTATATGTGTATAAACAATTTACATATAATGCAAAGCCAAATAACAGTGGTAGTGGATGGTGTACAGATACAATAGGACCTAATAGCCCCTCAACAAATGAATAGTCACTACCACTGGCCAAATAAAATATGAAATATTAGTATACAACAAGAATAGTCCGTAGGGTAGCCAAAGTCTTAAAACAAAAAGGTAGTCATTTAAATTTAAATTAGTTCTACTAAAATGAGGTACTAATGACAATATTGTAAAGATATCAAACTTGATAAATCTCTATTACAATTATATTAAATATATATATTACATCCAAAAAATGAGTTGTTCCATACTCATTATATAATATTTAAAAACAAACCACATTAAATTTATGTCCCTCTTAATATCAAATTGTATTATATTAACAAAAATATTATATCCAAAAAAAAGTGAGTTTGGTCAGACTCTCTAAATCCTAGTTAAAACCTAATAACACATGAAGTGTCCCCTTTTCCTCCCGAATATTTTATAATTAAATTATCAAAAATAAATTATCATAAAGGTATTCACCTTATCATATGCATATGATCAGTTAACAGTAAATATAAAGTAATACGTAATACAAAAGGTCAAATAGTTAAACGACTTATCTTTACAGCACTATAAGTCCATAGGAAAAACTCCTCTTGGCACGGCTACATCAGTTTGTGGCTGTAAAGACGAATCCTGGTCACAAAAGCCACAACCAGTCACTGGTCTCTGGGTGGCAGCAAAATCCACGGGTTTGTTAACTATGTATCTAAGGATTCTGTTACTAGTATCCTTGAGGGAATATTCTCAAGAGAATATCCTCAAGTAAAGTGAAAATAATATTTTCACGTGACGGAATCTAAAATAATTATTTAATTTAATAAATATGTAATTCAATAGGTGTAGCAACATGGATTGACTGCACCAAAACAAAACATCAAAACATTTGGTATTAGGTTAAGTCAACATCATGTCAAATTTATGAAGTTACTTTCGTAGGCATGGCAAGCTTGCGCCATGAAAAGAACATGCGCAGAATATAGAAGGCTGTCCACATTTGTCGAACCTTTTTATATTCCACCAAAAAAGTTAAGATACAAAATGGGAACCAAAAAAAACTTAATGATAACGACGTGGAATAAAACAGAATTTAAGTTTAACTATATAAAAAAAATGACCTTCTGTTCTTTGCAAGTAAATCAAGGAAATTTTATATTTAAATTATTTCGGAACTCAAAAATAAATCTCTAAAGAAATACTAAATACAATGATAAATTTGATTATATGATAAAGAGATAATACGTATAAAATGATTTACTTACATGGAACTGCAGCACGCCAAG